TCTATGCTGTCTTAACCACTTAAGGATTTCCCAACTCCATTTGCTTATAGCCATTGGACCCCAGAGACAAATCACTTCATCTCTAGGCCTCAGTTTTCTTCCCTGTAAAATGGAGATATACAATGGTCCCTTCCTTCCTACAGCCCATAGGAGGGTTAAATGAGAGCATGCATGCCATCTGCCCACGTCGGGCCTGGCACAGAGCAGCTGCTCAATAAATGGGCAGAACATGCCTCCTCCATCGTTACCACGGATAAAAGGCTGGCTCAATATTAAGTAACCAAGCACACCTTTGCTGGACTCTCCCTTTCACCAAGCACTAAGCATGGACCAATCCAAGCCTTGATTTTTTATTTAATTTTTTGTTAATCCTCACCCGAGGATACTTTCCATTGATTTTTAGGGAAAGTGGAAGAGAGAGGGAAAGACAGAGAGAAACATCGATGTGAGAAAAACACATTGGTTGGTTGCTTCCTGAAGGAGCCCCGACCAGGGCCTGGGCCTGGAAAGAGCCTGCAATCAAGGTATGTGTCCTTGACCGGAATCGAATCTGGGACCCTTTGGTCCGCAGGCCGATGCTCTATCCACTGAGCCAAACCGGCTAGGGCCCAATCCAAGTCTTTAAACAGAGGGTCTCTCCTACTGCCTCCCCCGACAGTGGTCCTGGAATGCCTGCTTGCTCCATCCCCAGGAAAACTGTCTTCTCCTCGCCTCCTAGTCATTTACTCATAACTTCCAAATGGTCACGAGTGAAACAGTGCACGTCAGTGTGCTCTGGCTGCTGAATAAGCAAAACACTGGCTTTCTGCTTGGAAAACACTCTCGCACCAGGATGAAACCTTGGCAGCCAACCCACTCCTGCTTCCCAAAGGCAGCCACTCACTGCGTGCCAGCCACATCCTGACTCCCTGGGTCCTGGGGGACCCTTCGCCCCCAGAGGCGAAGACCAGAGGAGACTCTGCCTCTTTTACCATATTTCTGACCCCCTTCCTAGAGTGCTCGTACGGAGAGATTTCAGTAAAGGCCCCGACATCTGCAAAACACACCCTCTGCTAGTGACGTCGCAAAAGGGGAGAGAGTGGGTTAAATGCAGATTCCAAGCTTGGAGCTCAATACTGGTTTTTAGTTGAGACTCACGCATGTTAATTAGGAACCCAAAGAGCAAAATAGTAAACGAACCGAAAGACATTTAATTACTAGAATTAGAAAAGATTTTTTTTACAAGAAATAATTCCAAGCTGCCCAAGTTAATATCTATTCCTGAGTTTCCACATCACCAAAAAAGCACCCAAAAGTTCTATTCCTAAGAATAACCACAAGATAACACAAACAGTGTTCTAAAGTAGAGGTTGCCAACTGGTGGCCCGCAGACCACTGGTGGTCTGTGAGGTCCAAAAGGTTGGCGACCACTGTCCTAAAGGTCCCAAGTATCTCACTTGTAAAGCACATACCAACAAGATTTGGTGGTTTGCTCTGAAACTTTTAATATTCTTAAGGCCCATATTTTTTAAGAGCTGAATTCTGATCCACTTAAGATACATGCAATAATGTACCCCGACATACATGTAAGCTCGGAGGCGGGGGATTCGACCCTGTGGTTATCTATATATATAAAAGGCTAATATGATAAGTGTCCGTCCAGGAAATGATGTCATGGCTTTGCCGAGCTACCTCTCCCTAGCAACTAGCCTCCTTGCAGTTTCTTCAGCCCAGGAATACAACTTGCTTTATACCGAGGTACAAACAAACATTTCACACTTTAACCAAATGTCTGTGAAGCATTTTCCCATGCCTCATCTCATTTGATCCTCACAGAAGTCCTGGAGTAGGTAGATAGGAGACTCAGTGGAATCCTATTTTCTTTTCATTAGCCGGAAAATGCAGATTTAGAAAGCTTAGAAACTTGACCCGACTGAAAAGAAGAAATGGTGGACCTTGAAAATGACTTCAGGTTTTCTCACTGTGCAGAATATAGTCAAACACTGCTATAGTTAAATATTTTACCCTTTGTTTTCCCTGCGTGATCTACAATAATAATCTGCTTTGTGTTGATATTTACTGCTGTGTTGCTGACAATTACCTGAAAGAGAAGTTGTGGTGCTTCACTGGGCTGGAAAAAGTTTAGCTACAATAGAAAGCAGGTCTAATTAAGCAAGTTTATTCTATGTATATAAAAGGCTAAGATGACTTGTGCATGCGCGATACATATAAAGCTCTCGCTGGCACCAATCACATGCGTGTTTCCATCGTCAATCGTGAATTTGGTTGACAGTTCTATTATAGAGAAAGGGTGAATAACGATATTAAAATATTTCTTCTAACTAATTTCCTTTCAACGTGCACAAATTCGTGCACCGGGCCACTAGTCTATCAATAAGAAACTAAAGGGTATGTTTCACATTTATGCAAATGAAAATCACTTATGAGTTCAACTTCATGGACTATGATTCAAGAGTTAAAAGACACAGACTGGGGACAATGACTTCCTGACCAGTGCTGTACTCAAGTTCAGAAAAGAGAGTTACAAAATTACTGTGCCATTCTGAGTGAAACAGTTACTGTTATATTTTTGAGACCATGAGTATTATCAATGTATTCTAACATGACACTTTTAAACTTCTAGCCTGGTTCCAATTCCTTCTCAAGTTCATAGATAACCACATTTGTATTACGACTGATCTATTTTTCTAACCTTGCAAAACAGTAACACACACCACACATACACACCCGCCTTGCATTTGCTTTTAAATTTAGTTACCTAAAACTAAGACCAAGAGCAACATTTATCGTATCCTCTGCGGTTGCTGAAATTATGGGCACATACCCCTACAAATAGCATCTCCAACTACTTACCCTTATCACACCCCAAACAGAATGCAGTAACAGTATCTGAATGTGCAGACAGGGAAAGTTAAAACAACCGACAGTGCTATTAGCAGGCACTGAAGAAGTTATCGAGAAGGAAAATAACCGCTCAGTCTAATCAATGGGACATCCTTTAGAGGCATGTACAATTAGTACAGAAAAAAGGATGCAAAATGCTCCGACATCAGCATGTTCCAATTCATCACAATTAAGTGAAGGACTGAGCCCTCATGGGGTGGAATGCCTGGCAACTCCATGTAATCCTGGACACTAAGCATCAGGCTAGCACAAGGCTGACCGTTCACAAAGAAGGAAAAAAAAAAAAAAAGATCCATTTACCTCTGGCTTACAAACACACCCAGTTCGGTGATATTTCTCCAACTGAATTTCAAAATCCAGTTCCATCACCATCATGAACTTCAGAAAGAACGCTGGAAAGCATCCTCAACTGGCAGAAAACCTTCAGACTAATTTGCAGTACCTGGCAGGCAAGATGGGACCCAGTACCAGCGGAAATCTCTCCTCCTAAAATTTAGGACCTGGGCGGCGGGGGTGTGGCTCCCTGGCCCCAAACATCCCCAGCTCGGGAATCAAGACACTCTGAATGGCTCAGTGGTTGAGTGTCAATCTATGAACCAGTAGCTCGAGGTTTGATTCCAGGTCAGGGCGAATGCCCAGGTTGCAGGCTCAATCCCCAATGGGGGGACGCGCAAGAGGCAGATGATCAATAATTCTCTCTCATCACTAATGTTTCTTTCTCTCTTTCCCTCTCCCTTCCTCTCTGAAATCAATAAAAATATATTAAAAAAAAAAAAAGACACTCTGACTGCCAGGCAGCAGCTGCAAGTGGAGGCAAGGAGGGGGTCCCAGGAGGGGCAGGGGTGAGGCACTGACCACCTACCTGGACCTACCTCCTCGAGCAGCGCATGCGTTCCTGCAGTTATGCTTCAGAAGACCAGAGCTACATGCAACCTGGTCTGAAGAGCAAGCAGCAGAAACCCGTACCAAGAGCATTGCCCAAGCTTCTCAATGTTAAAGAGGGCTCCCCAGATCTCAAATAAGCCAACCCAGGAGAATCCATCTGGACAACACGGTCTGCTTCCCTAACTTCCCCCAGTGCTGTCTTCTGCAGCTGAAATAGGTATGGCTTGCTGGGAGGGGAGTGGTGCTTTACGGCACTTACAGCTGGTGCCAAGCTCCAAGGCAAATGTCCTATTTTCATGGAGGTTCAGAGGCTTTCACAGCCCTGGGGTCCTCCCTTACCTACCCCTCTTACCCTATCACTAATTCACTTAACATTGTAAAGGAAACCACTCCGACCTTGGCCCTGTCCCCAGACACCCACAAGGTTCTCTGGAGGGTCTGCCTGGGAGGAGCTGTTCTTCTGCAGCCTCTGGTCTCAGCTCTGACACTTCCAGGCAGCAAGGGCCTCTGGTCTCAGTTCAGGGCTCTGAGTGCCCTGCAGGCAGGTCCTGCGGGCGCAGCAGCTGGGGCATAACTGAACCCTCTGATGAGGGGGCCGTGGGGGCTTGTCTGCACAGATCTCTCTTCCACCCAGGGCTGTAGGCCCCGGACTAGGTCAGGGATTCCGGGGTGGGAGCAGTCCCAGCCGGAGTCCCCTCTCATTCCTTTAGGATTTTTGCCTCAGCCTTGCCAAGCCCTGGAGCAGTGCATTCACTGACCATCTCCCTGCCCCTTGCTGCTGACTTTGGCCACGTTGCTTCCCCTCCCTCTGCCCCCGGTGGCCTGGCGCCACCTCCTTCTCGGGTTATGACAGGGTCAGGATGATGTGGAAAGCATCTAGCAGACTGCCCGACACCCAGGAAGGGCGACAGATAGGGAGAGGCCGTCCCTCTTCTTCCCGGGGGCGGGGTGGGGGGGGTGTCCAGAGCCCGCTCAGCCCTCGGCCCACCTCCAGCCTCCCGGGCTCAGCACCCGGGCATGGGGGGCAGGCGGAGGCTGCACACCCCAGGTCCCCCTTGTACCCGGGAGCGGGGGTCCCGGAGGGGGTGTGGCTCTGCAGCCCCAAACATCCCCGGCTCAGAAATCCAGGCGATCAGATGCCAGGCAAGCCGGGCAGCAGCTGCGAGCGGAGGCTCCGCGGGTCCCCGCGGGGCGCGCTGGCCGCGACCTACCTCCTCCAGCAGCGTCACGGTGTTCCTGCAGTTGTGCAGCCGCGTGGTGAAGCTGGACGTGGTGGGCGAGTTGTAGTCCTCGGTGGTCTCGGCGATGAACTCGGACACGGAGATCTGGTCCGGCATCCTGCCGGGGGGGCGAGACACAGGCGCGGGGTGAGTCAGGGCGCGGGCTCCGGGGGCCGCGGGCCGTCCGGCGGCTCATGAACGCCCCGCACAGCCCGCACCCGCGCCCGGCCTGGCGCGGCTCCCGACCCCGGCGGCTGCGGGAGGAAGGGCGGGAGGAAGGGCGGGCGGGCGCAGCAGGCGGCGGCGGCGGCGCTGGGCGCGGGGCCCTTCAAACTCCGAGCCGCGCGCGAGGCAGGGGGCTCCTGAGGACCCGCCTCCCCGGGCGCATGCCGGCGGCGGCTCCTGGGCGGCGGGGGAGGGGACGGGGCGGCGGGATGCGGAGGGATCGGGCCGGGCGGCTGCGGGGCGGCCGGCGCTGCCTCCCCAGACGCTCTGACAGGCGGCGGCGAGGACACCGACTGACTGAGCACAGGCTCGCGCGGTCGGGTGGCCGGGCTGCGGGCGGCGTCGCTCCCGCTACAGTCACGGGGACAAACAAGGAAGTGGTCTGCGCACGCGCCGCCCCCCCCCGCCGGCCCCCGCCCCGCCCCCGCCGCCCGCGGCCACGCCCCCGCCCGCGCGCCGCCTCCCAGGCCAAGTTCCGAGCGGGCGCCGCGGGGCCGCCCCCAGCGCTGACTGCAGCGGGCTCGTTACGCCAGCGATGGGCGAGGAGCGGCACCCAAAAAAGTTGTGCGCGTTCTTTTTTAGTCCCGCGTGGGTGCCGGAAGCGAGGGGGAGAGTCGCCTCCTGCCGCGGGGGCCGCGGGGCGGCCTCGGCCGAGCGAGGAGCCAGCCGGCTGCCAGGCTTGCAGCTGCCCGCTGGCCGGGCTCCCGTCCGCACTCCCTTCCCGGGGCTCTGGCCGCCACTGCAAGGCTAGTTTGTGCAGTTGGCTTGAGTCGCTAAAATACCAGCTGAAAACAAATGAAAGGGTTTTGATTTTTTTTTACTATTTTCTAATATTTCGTTGCCTTTTTTTTTTTTTCCTAACCCGGAGGAAAGACCGGGGTCATGGGATGTAAAACGCATTTCCCGAGGTGCAAATGGTGTACACCGCTAAGCAGATGCCAAATTTCTGCGGAAAAAGTACCAACAGATTGCTCATTCCTCGGCCCCGGCAGATGGCTATTTTTTTCACTAGCTCAATCTACTTAGTCCAATGAATCCATTTAATTTCTCACCATTGATTGCCAGTGAAATTGGTTCAAAAGAAAAAAAACACACCTAGGCTTTGGGGAAGCAACACAAGATTCGCTCCTGTCATTGGAGCCAGTGGGAGCTTTCTATAGCCACCTCAAAACTCGCCTCAGCCCTGGCAGGGGAGAGCAGTTTGTTAGCGGAGTCATCCCCATAAACCCAGGTTGAGGTTAAATCTGGGGCGAGGGCACATACCAGAGAATTATGCTAAGCGAAACAGCCAGTCAGAGAAAGACAAGTATCACATGATCTCACTTATATGTGGAATCTAATGAACAAAATAAAATGAGGAACAAAATAGATCCAGAGACATTGAAGACTGATGAGTTTCAGAGGGAGGGGTTGCAGGAAGAGATTAACCAAGGAACATACATAAATAGTGCACAGTGAAGGCCTAGGGAGGGAGCAGGAGGGGGTGGGGGATGGGGTCTAGGGTGAGGGGGTAGTGGAGAAGGTCAATGGGGGAAAAGGGACATCTGTAATACAACAATAAAGTTAAAAATAAATAAATAAATAAATAAATAAATAAATAAATAAATAATAATGGGCCAAAAAAAAAAAAAAAAAGCAACAAATGAATGCATAAATGGGGAGCAGCGGGTCAATATTTCTCTTTCTCAAACAAAAACCTAAAAAACACTTCTTCACCAAAATCACGCTAATGCGCCCCCTGAGGGCAGAAGGCTGGCCCTGCGGCCACCCCCAGGACTGAGCTGCTGCTATCTTGATCCATTAAGTGTGTCCTCTGGTCTTTAACCCCAACTATAGTGGAGTGCCCCCCAAGGCAAGGGGCCTTGCTTTTTGCATTGGGCCTGTGGCAGATCATAGCCAAAAGGTTGTAAAATGAAAATGCATAACTCACTTATTGTTAACAAATACATCCTGAGGGCCCTGGAGATTGAGTGGTGACAAGGCCCACACTCTGGTGAGCTTACCTTAGTAGGGCAACAGACAGCCTAAAAATGCCAGATAATGTGGATCACATATAAAATAAGGTGATGGAGGTGTGCGGAATGTTCAGACGAGGCCTCTGTGATACGGTGACCTCTTGAGCAGAAAAGGAATTGATGGGCTGAATCCCATTGATATCCCGTTGGCTAAGGGACCTTGGCCTTCAGTGGCCTCACATGCAGAGGGAAGATAAGGGCGCCAACCCCACGAGGCTGTTGAATGATGATGGATGAGAAAGTGCTTTGTGCACAGGAAAGCCATTATGAGAGTTTCAGGTGTTTTGTCTCCTGCAGCTGAAGGTTCTGTGACTGGGAGCAAACATGGCCCCAACGAGCTTGGGCTAATTAAGTCCTGTGAGTCTCAGCAACCCCATGCTGCGCCGTGGAGCAGGTGAGAGCGCAACAGTTGACACTTAGACTTCCATCCACTCCAAGAGGGCCTTCCTCTAGGCTGGAAATCAATTCAGACTTTGACTTTGCATTTCTTCTATTCTTCCCTCTATTCCAACTTGTCATCTAAAGCCGGTCACCTCTGCTGGGCTGGTAGCTCCTCCCATCCCTAAAAGCCATCCGATGGCTCAGTAACTATGAGCTGTTATTAAAGTAAGTGAATGGCTGCCTCAACTCCAGGAGCCCTGGATTGCAGAGCCTCCTCTCATAACAGATGCTGTCACCTTGGGCCTTGGTGCCATCACTTGTACAACAAAGGGGATGTGTCAAAATGACGACACAGATCCCTCCCTGCTGGGAGGGATACCCTCGGCTCTGCAGACACAGGAAATAAAGGTGCTTACAAGCTAAGCTACCTGCCATGGTAAACAGCCAGGGATTTCTTTCTTGACTGAATTCACCACAGAGCCCAAACTTGCTGCCATCAATTGGTGTTTCACTTTCATTGGAAGATTATGTTATGTATCTGCTCCTCCTCCCCATCTCCTCCGGCCAAGAAAGGGCCGTGTGAGCAATGTGATGCTGTGCCCCGGTAAGGCTATACCTCCTCCGCCTGGTCTGCAGTTCGATTTCAAAGGTTCACACCGTATCTGGGGTTCATGGGCCATAATCCTCTTTAGATTTGAAACCATGCCCCAGTGCAAACCATCGGCACCTCTCTTCTCAGGTGCCCTGAACACCGTGCCTGGGTATCTGAAGCAAACAGTGATGTGGGCAGAACTTAAAATGCTGGGTTTTGGTGTGTGCAGCTGCTCAGAACAGACATCATCCTTTCCAGAGCCAGGAAACACATGTGCACACACGCACACACACACAAAAACACTTGTGTGTGCCCGGCTTTGTATTAAGCAGGTGTCATCTCTTTGTCATCTTCATACTCCCCATCCAAGAGTATTCAGCACCTTGGACTCTTCATGCCAGTTCTTTGAGCGCCGCGGACGGGGTAAGACAGTGGTCCTTGCAGAATGGTTTTCATCTCATTGAAAAGAGGCCGTGAGAACAGCAGTGGGTTATTCTCAGGGACAGTGGTTGCACTATTGACGCCACTGTCATCGGGGAATTGGCTAAGTTATAGTTCCAGTTGCAGACGTCCCTCACCCATCTGCCAAACCAATGACCAAGGAGGTGCATTTACAAGATGACTGACAATGTTCCAGGAGTGAAGAGTGGGGGTGGGAGCTTAGGCTGCTCTCGGGGTACAAGAAACCCAGAGGAGTTATTGGTGCCCTGATCAACAGTGCTCGCCAGCGTCCCCGGCTGATGGGATGGAATTACAGCCCTCGTCAAAGGGTCCCCATGTCTTCATGGGACAGGGCAATGGGGAGTGCAGGCTGAGAATATGCTTTGTGTTACATGGACCTCGGTTGGCATCTCTCCTCCGTCACTTATTTAGCCTTGTTTTCTCATCTGCATCATTAGGGTAATAACAAAACTACGCTGGAGGTTGTTACATGAAATAAAATGAGAAGATGTGGCTAAGACAGTTGACGCACAGTGAATAATCAACCAGGGTTAGTTCCCTCTGAACTCCCTTTCTTTGTGAAGTTGGACTATAAATACATCCCTGGCATTCCAAGACTCAGAAACGTCTCTAAATTAGTCACCTGGAGGAGGAAAGGAGAGGGAGGGGGAGACTGCACAGCAATTCCCAGTGTTTGGGCTCTCGGACTAGGGAATCGTTTTCCGAGACCTGGCTGATTCTTGTATATATCCTTTGTGAAACGGATCCATGAGTAGACGGTTTGGGACTTGGGAAGTAAATAAACAATATCTAGAGAAATAGGCTAACACACCGAGAGCAGAAGTGGGTTGAAGTAATAATATAAGAGCCTCGTTCTCAGAAGGCTATTCTGAGCAAGGCAACTTCCGGAGGCTAGAACAGGGCATTTAGTTCGCAGGAGCATCAGTTACAGGCTGACTCTCGCAGGAGAAAGACTTGGGTTCCCATCTCTGCCAAGTTTTAGCTCTTAGGCTTCGCTAAAAGCAATTCACTTCTCTCGGCTAGTAGACCTTTCAAGGTAACTAATGTCTCTGAGGCTCAGTTTTCACATCCGCAAAATGGGGGCAATGAATGGTCCCTATGTCTGAGAATTTAGTGAGCCTAGACACATTAGGAGGGTCTGAGACATAAGTGGACAATACCTTTCAGATATCCTGGGATACTGGAAACCTTATCTGGAGATATAAATTCTGATGTTCTGCTACAAACAGACACTTTTGCTAAGTACAGATTCTGGACACACATGCCCTGCTTTAAACTTCGGGGCAACTTCATAAGGTAAGAATCATTATCCCAAATTTACCAGAGAGAAACCTGAGGCTACTACGGTCTAGGTCTAGGATCCTACTTTCTGAGCTCCAGCCCCCCGCCAGGCACTGCACGGGTTGTTATGCAAGCAGGGTCTGAATTCATTCACGTAACAGT